GCTGAAATCTTGCACGCATCAATTACAACTATTCTTATTAATAACTGCATTGTTTCTTTCCAGGGAGGGGGAAGGGCTGAAAATTCATAGGCTGACTAAGAAATGAAGCTAGAGCTGTGAAATCTTGCACGCATCGCATCAATTACAACTATTCATTGACTTAATAGCTGCATTGTTTTTTCCAGGGAGGGGGGAAGGGCTGAAAAATTCATAGGCTGACTAAGAAATGAAGCTAGAGCTGTGAAATCTTACACGCATCAATTACAACTATTCTTATTAATAGCTGCATTGTTTCTTTCCAGGGAGGGGGAAGGGCTGAAAAATTCATAGGCTGACTAAGAAATGAAGCTAGAGCTGTGAAATCTTGCACGCATCAATTACAACTATTCTTATTAATAGCTGCATTGTTTCTTTCCAGGGGGAGGGGAAGGGCTGAAAATTCATAGGCTGACTAAGAAATGAAGCTAGAGCTGTGAAATTTGCACGCATCAATTACAACTATTCTTATTAATAGCTGCATTGTTTCTTTCCAGGAGGGGGAAGGGCTGAAAAATTCATAGGCTGACTAAGAAATGAAGCTAGAGCTGTGAAATCTTTTGCACGCATCAATTACAACTATTCTTATTAATAGCTGCATTGTTTCTTTCCAGGGAGGGGGAAGGGCTGAAAAATTCATAGGCTGACTAAGAAATGAAGCTAGAGCTGTGAAATCTTGCACGCATCAATTACAACTATTCTTATTAATAACTGCATTATTTCTTTTCAGTTAAAAGGACATCTGACTGTTCAGAGAAGATTTTTCCTCTTGGAAAAAAAAAAAACAGTTGATTTTCATGTGCTGATTTCTACGTGCCCCGCCTCTCTATCTCTCAGGTATACTGAGATCTGACTTTTCAAAGAAGGCTGTTCATCCTGTTGGTCAAAAAGTTATCATTAGCAGACATGACGTCCCCATCACGGCAATAGTGATTCCAATGTTGGCGAACAGCTGATAGTCAGATCAGGAGACTAGAGGCGGTGATCAACCCGTTCAAAGCCACAGTAACTCACATCAGCCATTCGTAAGCAAGGACTTGTGTGCTGCAGCATTATTCTGATGAAACAAAACATCTCTCGTCAGGTTTCCTCAGCCTTTGGTCTTCATCGACTTTCGTAATTGCCTCAAATTTTTCGTAAGGAACTCTCCATTGATGGTGTGTCCCTTTTGAAAATAGTCAATAAACACAATGCCTTCCCCCAAAACTGAGGCTATCCCCTTCCCTGAAGATGAAACGACCATGGCCTTCTTTGGAGCAGATGAGTCGCCATGTTTCCACCGCATGGATTGTATCTTTGTCTCTGGCTCAAAGTGATGGCTCCCCGCAGATTTCTTTTCATTATTATCTGTGAATTGTTATGACATCTTGGGAAAAATCGTGGAGTTGTCTCCGTTGTCATTTCTTTTGCTTTACCCGAAAAATGCAGGCAAAGACTATATAATTCCGTATTTGGAAGACAATCGAATATACTGACTGATTTCGACAAAGATGAAGAAAGAAAAGAATAAATAAACTAATGAATAGATCTACAAATCTTATACTGCTAATAAAGTTTGAATTTTTCTTGTTTTTCTTTTGCTAAGCCTATCGTCCAGTTCAAACTCCTCCCTGTTCTTTTGAACCAGAGTAGAGGTTTATCACTTGTTTCCTGTTTAGAACTGGGTTACCGTTCCTTCCTAAGTCTACTTCCACATTATACTTCTAACTTCTCCGACTGAATTCTGAAATGTTATTCACTAATTAAATCTTGACCTCTTCAAGTTTATAGTTAGCCATTGTCTTCCCTGTATAGCCCCCAAAACTTCGCTTATGCCCTTTCTTACGCTAATACAACCCTCTACCCTGAGTGGCTCTTAGGCCGTATATTGGAAGAACATTAGTAATATATATATATCAGGTATAACAGTAATATATATATCAGGTATAATAGCCCAAATCGTTTTGTCCAATTGTTAGATTAACCTTTGAAAGGTTGTATCTGAGAAATGATTAAAGATATCTTACTGAAATTCTACGAAGATTTTATAACACTATTGAACTCTACTTTTGAACAATAAGAATGTATTTAGCTCTAAGTTGAAATGATGATTCCTCTTGATGTTGTGACGTCCTGATCCAGTTTTCATCTCTACTGTTCCCCTTCTTTTTAAAACTTATTCACCGTTCACTAGATGGTTCTTGAATGGACGTTGAAGCCAGAGTATGAATGTTGGTAACATTACTGAAGGCATGAATAATCTTTTTCCTCTCGCCATTTGCTCAGTTGGGAAGACATAGTGGGTCTGACACAAAACGATTTTAACCTGTTCACTTTCTAGCTAAATAACTCAAAGGTTTTTTCAGTGATTCTTGCGATAAATGGTGTTAAAATGGCTAAACATCTTATTGAAAACCTGGGAAAAAGTAACCCAATTAGTTTAGTGTTTTTCTTTTTTCTTTTTTTTTTTTTTTAGATAGACGCATAATTATCACATGCTACTTCACGATTTAGACAATTTTGCTATAACATCCGCTATATATATATATATATATATATATATATATATATATATATATATATATATATATATATAACGTCATCCACAGACAGACTGTTTCGCTGTTTCACAGCTCATCAGTGTGGCTAGACATCCGGTTGCCTCTCTCTCTCTCTCTCTCTATATATATATATATATATATATATATATATATATATATATATATATATATATATAAGTTATGAAAAACTTGGTAATCCGTATGGGTAGTCCCAAGGAGGATGAAATCCTGAGAGCTCAATGCAAATCCAGAGCTAATATTTTAAATAAAAACAGACCACATTAAGGTTCATTTAATAATTTTTTTTTATATATATATATATATATATATATATATATTTCATATATATATATATATCATATATATATATCATATATATATATTTATTTCATATATATATGCGCATACGTATATATATATATATATATATATATATATATATATATACATATATATATATATATATATATGCATGCATATATATATGTGCATATATATAGATATATATATAGTCTCTCTCTCTATATATATATATGTATGCATATATATATATTTAATATATTTCATTGTCATACGTTATTTATATATACACAATCATTTAAGTAAAGGCACTATTTATAATAAACATTATTAACTGTTCATATATACATATATATATATATATATATATATATATATATATATATATCAAAATTCAGGAGATCAGTTGAGTCCGCTATCATGGTTTCAACCTTACAGTATGCTCAGGTGATTTTTATCAAATGACCTCTTAACGCTTTATTTGTTTTTAAACTAATGAGCGCTATATTATTTTTTTTTAAATAAATAAACAAACGCAAGACGTTGGGTGTAACAGAAAAGGAGGAGGGGGATATGAAGAAGGAAGCAGAAGAAGATGAAGTGGGGGAGAGAAGAAAAGCAAGGATATCATAAAAGTACCGGTGAGGGGTTAATTGAAATGTACATTTTTTTTTAATCTAGCCTCATATGTGCTTAAGAGGAATTTCTTAATATGTATACAAGAATCATTCAGTTCACACTTCTCCCCGGTCATTTGAACAGGGGTAGATGCTTATTCCTGGTTTCCGGTCCCTTCTAAAGTTTACTTCCACACTATACTTCTAATATCCCCGGTTGAACACTGAAATAATATTCACTGATTAAATCTCGACTTCTTCAAACCTAGAGTCAGCTGTTATCTTTCCCGCAAAGCCCCAAGAACTCCCCTTCTTGTCCTTTCTTATGCTTATACAACACTGCACAGTAATCCTCTACCTTGAGTGGCTCTTGACCTTTTAATGCGTGAACATTAATAAAAGAAAGTTCAAAAGTTTAAAACCTTATCCTATCGTTTACATTGAGAGAAAGTCTTGATTTTCATTTGACACGAGAAGACATCGCAGCACAGATGAAAAAAGAAAAGTGCCGACTGTCATTAATTATTGGATGTATGGAAAAGCTATAAACAAATTTAATATAGGAGATAAGGAAATTAAATATGGCTTGAGCAACTAGATTGGCATCTAGGTTCCACACTTTTACTGTTGAAATAGCTAAACGCAACCGCAACTTCTACTCCAAAGTTTTCTTTTCTTGCACTTCCAGCCTGTGAAACTCCCTTCCGTTTATTTGCTTCCCTGATAACTAGAATCTTAAAATATGTAAATGCAACGACATTCGCCATCTTTTGTCTTCTTGAATTCCCTTCATCTTTTGTCCTTTCCTCAATCCTTCCTATTCTCAGTCTTCATTTTCACTTTCACTCCATGTAACCCCTTGCGTACTAGTGGCATTCCCGCCTTGCTTGGGGGTAAAATGACTAAGAAAAAAAGCTGTACGGAGTCATGGTAGCCTATACCTGAAGGGAAATTGTATTTGCATAGAGAGTGGTAAGCTTTTGAAAGATTCTGGTAGCAAGTTAAAAAAGTTTTATGCCTGCTTACCAACCCACTCTATCGGTGTCACAACGAGCCTATTATGAATGTTTCTCACCGCGCAAAAATTCATACTGTCACTTAACAAGTAATATATTTTTTTATAAAAGAAATACTTTAGATCACTCTTTTTTTTATTGCTGTTAACAATTCCGATTTGTAAAGTTGGGATTCTTTGAAATTTTCCGCAAAGCGCCTCGGGTAGCTAACGTTGAATCAAGAGTGGAGAAAAGATTTATTCTTTTCAGGTAAGATTAGGTTATATGTCAAGCATATGGCGCTGATTACGCTTTGCGTACAGTACTCTATTCTGATTGGTCAGTTTGTCGTCTTCAGCTTTCCAATGAATTTCGAAAGCGAAGTATTCAAACTCATTTATTTCATTTGCAGCTATTCAGAATGCCTGGCCGGTGGCTGTCCAAAGTACGGTTGATGAAATAATAAGTGGCGTGAAAAGGAGGATGAGGTTGAGGAGAAAGAAAGGTACTAGTTAGTCAGGAAGATCTATAGGAAAAGGAGGCGAAGGGAAATTAAATAAAGACGATGAAGAGGAAGAAGAGTAAAATGAGACAGAAGGATGGGAAAAGAAAGTAGAAAAATGAAGAAGAAAAAGATGCGAAGAAAAGGAAGGAAAAAGAAATACGCTTAGGCAGAGATTAAAGAAAGAAAGAAAAGAAAAGAAAAAGTTGTAAAAACAAAGTAAATAAAAAGGTAAATGTACAAAACAAAGTATATAACATGTTAAAATCCCCGAAGAGGAAGAGGATAAAGATAAAAATAATGATGAAGAGTTAGAAGAAATAAGAGAACGACAAAAGAAGAAAAAGAGAGCAGAGGGCGAAAATAAAGGCAGAAGAAAAGTGAAGAAGGAGGAGAAAAGAGTAGTAATGTGAGAATAAAAAAGGATGAAGCTTTGGAAGAAAGAAATAATAAACGGAAAGAGAGGGAGGAGGAATTGGAAAAATATTTCTTCTCTTCTTTTCTTTTTTTCTCTCCTTCCAGAGGTGGTTAAGACAATAAAAAGAGAGAAGAATTTGAAGAGGAAGTGGAGACGAAGGATGACGGGGAAGAAGGAGACAAAGAGAAAGGCAAACAGTAGAAAAGAACGCTACGAACGGCGACGATGACGAATAAAGAAAAGAAGAAAAGGAATAAAAAGAAAGAAAACCAGGAATGAAGAAGAGAAAAAAGAGGAAAAGAAACGAGGAAAAGAAAGTATTAGTAGTAGGAGTGTAGGATGAGGAGGAGGAGGAGAAGAAGAAGGAGAAAGAGGAAGAAAAGTCCGTAGAAAGAAAAATAAAATAAAAGAACGAGGTCACACAATGGTAAAAAAACAATAGAACAAATTTTATCCTATTTTAAAATAACAAATAGCACATGGCTTTCCACAACTTCCTATCCTTTGTAGATCTTAGCAAGCATTGTCTTTTCGTTATCTTTCCCAATTGCTATTTTGTCATCCATTTGCACAAGATTTTTAGTCAGATTACTCAGTTTTCCTCTGTCCCTCTTACCTGCAATCAGTCCTGTGGATGTCAAATTTTCCAAGCCTCATTACCATATATGCTGGCGTAAAAGGCGATTGGGCGTATAAGACGACCCCCGCCAAATCGTATTTTAAAATGTATTGAATTTACTAAATAAATTCATAAAGCATATGCATTCTTTTCACTCAAATTCTAATTAAAAAATGGTGAGGCGATATTGTCAATTAACTACCACAATCTACAATACCTCATGAGTGGGTGCTGTGTTTTTGGTAGGTTATTACGGTAGCCTGAATGACTTTTGCTCACTAACCATCCACTCATTCCACTGTTCTCGAATGCGATCTTTAAAAGGATTGTTGAGTCACACACCCAGTTGTGTTTTTGTCCAATATAACCAAAAAAAAAAAAGGAAGCGAAATATTGTAAATTAACTACCACACAATCTATAGTGTGTGACGATGGTTTTGGTGTTTTATTGTATTCGTGCAGTCATATCAAACATTATATAAAGTAAGAATACTTTTATTACACTACATTTTTTGTTATTTTATTATAATAATCTGAATTAAGATGTTTTAGTAGAAAATATTTATGTTGATAGTCACCAAGGCAGGGGTTAGCTTACCATAAAAAAATCTCCAATACTAACAACTTATCATAAACCACGGGATTTAAAGTTCAAATATTATAACACGGCTCCATATTTTTAGGGGGATTTTTTAAGGTTAAAAGGTCGTCTTATACGCCGACATATACGGTATTTGTCATAGAAATTTCAACCGTCTCTTTCTGATTCTACGTATAAGGTTCCTTTTTGTATCCATTTTCCCTAAAATATATTTTTATAGTAAAATTAACAATCTATTTTATAATCTACGGATTATATATATCTAAAAAATCAGTTTTATGCTTTCAAGTTAAAGTATGTACAAAATACCTGTGGTTGAAGACATAAAATTATGGACTAAATATTTAGATTTCTGAATTAAATAATCCATAAATGTGTTGATATGCCGCTAAATAAAATCAAGCAACCAAATATTACAAATAAAAAAATAATAATCCAACTAAAATACAACTATGAAGAAAAGACAAATGTTAGTTGATAATACTAAAGTTTAGTAGATAATACTAAAATATTATACATGACTATTAAACACTTCATTGAAAACCGGAAAGGTATTCATTTATCCGTAAACTTTTGGCATAGCATATTCATCTCCAGGTTTAAACCAAAGCCGATGTCTTCCAATTTGAAGGTTCCCTTTGGTCCCTGACACGTCTCCACACTGGCCTTCGATTTTAGTCTAGGAATCTCTCTGCCCAGCCATGCAGTATCGTGCTAGATGGGAGTTGACTCTACGAAGCGGTTCATCCCCCCTCCCCACTTTGACAGGTTTTGTTTTTAATCCTGTTGAATGTTTAGCCTCCTTTCTCACCAGAGGGGACCGATTTAGGCTCAAATGACCCGATTATGCGCCAGGTAATTCTGAGTTACTTGGTACCAGTAGAACTCGTAGAGTTACCTGACATGACTGCTAGTAATAGACGATAGAAATCTGAAGACGTGTAGGAATAATAAATAATTACAAACCCATCATTTTGGAGGTTGTTGTAAATAAACAGAACTGAGAGACTTAGGTGCCTTTTCACGGACACTTTGTAAACTAAAATGGATTACAGTTCAAGTAACTCGAATTTATTTCCTACTAGGTGCTACCATAGAACTACGAATGTGTAAATATTACAATCATCAACCAACCTGAATTACGCCGATCTAATATTTTTTAATCGGTATTATCCCAAGCACGGAGTAATGGATAGCGGCTCGGATTAAGGAATCGGAGAGCCGAGTTCGAATTCCAGTCGAATTCATTATATTCACTTATGTACTAATACCCTTGGAAAAGGTAAAAACCCTCTTCTTCTCCCCCCTGCTATGGGTAAATAGCAGGACAGACCGGGTTCTATAGCCTTGGATGGCAACTGGTCTGCCGCAGAAAAAAATGGCAATCTACTGCGGGAAAAAAACTACCTCGTCAGTCATGTATCAAAAGATAAATGATCGCCTAAGAGTGTATCACGCATGGCACATAACTAACTGAAGCCACTAAAATACAATAGGTTACAGAGTGTGGGAAAATTAGGAGCAGAAACATTAATAATGAGCAGAAAAAGAAAAGATTAAAAAGGAGATAGCGATTGACATTGCATTTAAATTTTAATCATGGAAGAGAGTTCCACAAGCTATAAAAGAAACATTTAATATAGAACTTACGGCTACATCTAGTCAGCTCAACTGTAAATTGATGAGATCTCGAAGCCAGTCTAGTGCTGCGCTTAAATTAAAAAAACTCTATATAATATAGCGAAGAGCTCATCCGAACAATTGCCATGAAAATATTTATAGAAAAAACACAGGTAGGCAACCTTACGGCGGTGGGAATGTGACCGAAGCCGAGCCGCCAGATCAGGACCAATTGCTGATTCTTCTTTGGATATTATCAAGGAGCTCATGGTAAATAGCAGGGGCACTGGACCATATATGGTTGCAATATTCTAAGCATGGACGAATGGTAGATTTATAAATATGCAAGATAAATTCTGGAGAGGAAAACTGTCTCGCACAACACAGTGAACCGACTTTCCTAGCAGCTGTCCTAGCAATGGATTCAATATAATCTTTCCTCTTCATGTCAGCTGAGAACGTTAGCTCGAGAAGGCGCAACGGATCATTTTCCTGGAGGTCAGAATCAGCCATTGATGGAAGTCACAGAGGGGTCTCTCAAATGACTGATGGAGAGATGTTTAGTTTTGGAGACGTTAAAATTAACCAGCCCCAGTTAACGACGAACTTGGAGTCGTTTTGGACCATGTCGGACTGACCAGCCTTACTATCGAAGCAGGAATAAATGGTAGTGTCGTCAGCGTAGATGCCAAGTTGAGAGCTGATGTCATCAGAAGGTCATTAATGAAAATTAAAAACAGCGTAGGACCAAAGCTGGAGCCCTTTGGGATCACCCGCGTTAGTACGGAAGGACCTAGGCGAGTGGCCGTTTAGGATAACTTTCATTTCACGATTTGATAGGAAAGACTGGATCAGCTAAAAAGTGTGTCCGGAGACACTGTAACTTTTCAGCTTGTGGAGAAGACCTGTATGGCAGATCCCGTGAAAGGCTTTCAAGATGTGCAAAGCTACAACCCGGGCTTCAACGTTTTTATCTAGAGCATAATAGACTCTTTCGAGCAATTATCGTCAGTATATCAGCAGTTAAACTGGAGAAACGAAAGCCATATCTGTGAAAAGGCCCAACGATGAGTTTTAGTGAACAAATTCAGCATTGATTAAGGCCTCTAGGTGTTTCCCAAAATGTGTTAGAAGGCTAACAGGTCGATAGTTGGAAGGGTCGGACGGTTCACCAGAGTTCTTAAAAACTGAAACAGCGGACGATGACTTCCAGCAGGCAGAAAATCAGGAGGCAGCGTGGTATTTATTATACAGTTTAGAGAGAACAGGAGCCAGATCGGGAGCACACTTCTTAATGCTTTGTGGGGATCTAGTTTAGAGATGATAGCAAAAATGATGGAGAGAGTTATATACATATCGCTCAACAGGGATTCGGTTTTAAGTGTGAAGTTAGGCAGGGATAATCGAGATGAGTGAAGAAAAGAGTTTGAGAAGAATTTACGGGCAAAATCATTGTAAAAGTTCGTGTCCGACTTTTATTATCAATATAAAATGATCACAACTCGAAACTGGCGTTTGTTTTGGTACTGATTTCTGGTGTGTTCTAGATTCAAACCGTGCATCGTTAAATTGCGTGTCAGACTTTGTTGAATATTGATGATTTGTCCACAAATGAATCTCTTAAAGATGGAGGATTAAAAGTCGAACTTTCGCCATATTACGCTCTATAAAATTTGAAAAGAAGTAAACGTCTGAAATAAAAATTAAAAAAAAAAAAATTCAGAAGGCTTATTTGGTCGTGATCCTGCTCTTCGGACGACGGTCAAAAAGTGGTTTGATAAATTTCGTCGTCGTTATTTAAACCTAAACAATCAACGCCGATGAAGACGCTCTGCTTGCCATCGTCAAGAATAAACCGAATATCTTGACGGAAGAGATTGCTAAGAGTTTGAAAATCTTTATCTCAACTGTCTTTCGCCATTTGAAGAGACTTTGGTTCAAGAAAAACGGCCGATTTTGGCAAATCGGAAATGTGCGACGACAACGCAAGACAGTATGTTGCAAAACAGACCCCGCAAAACCTTAAAGAGTTGAAATGAGGACAACCTCCAGTAACTACAGTATTCTCCTGAATTGACTGCTTCGGATTTCCTGTTGTTCTGTTCTTTGCAGAACAATTTAAATCCCAAAATTTGACTCCGTACAGCCAGTCGAAAACTACCTCATAACCTCCTTCCAATAACGAAAAACACGATGTTTCTATGAAAAATCAATAATCTTGTAGAACGATGGGAGACAGTCGTTAAAAACAATGGAGACTGTATAATTGATGGATCAATGTTTTTTTTTTTTCGTGAGTATGTAAAATTTTGTTTAATTTGTAATCATCTAATAGAACGATAATATATTTTTTATTACTCATGTTCATCCAATACAAGGCCCAAGTGACTCTCAAGGTAGAGGGTTTCTGCGTGGAGTTGTATTAGCATGAGAAAAGTCAAGAAGTGAAGTTCTTGGCGGCTATGCAAGTAGAATAACAGTTACTTGTAGACCTGAAGTGGTCAAGATTTAATCATTGAATAAAATTTCAGAGTTTAGTAAGAGATGATGGAAGTAAAGAGTTAGATTTTAGAAGGGACCGGAAACCCAATCTTAGGAGAAAACAAGGGATAAATCACTACTCCTGTTCAAAAGACCAGGGAGATGCGTGAACCGGGCGAAAGGCAATCCTTTCTACTTTTATATAAGAGTTAATAATTCATAATTAATCAAATCACTGAAAGCAATTAAAATGTGTATTTCTAAGCCTGGTTATTTGGATAGTGATTCACGGGTTATTTTTTTTTCTCTCGAAAAATGCCAACATGGCTTTTGCAGTGACAATAATCGAAGTAGAATATTTGACTTCGCTGTCTAATGTGTAATCTACTAATATAATGTATAAACAAGACCGTGTAGAAGATTAAATTTGTGGAAAAACGAAGGATGAGAGGCTTCTGAAAATTTAATAAATTTATTTATATTTAACAATGTCGATAAACATAGTAGTAGAATTAGATCGAAAGAAGACATGAAATACAGTCAATCCTTTGATAATGTTCTGTAATTAAATGAGGTTTTATTCCTCAGACGCTGCTCCTACAACACCAAATGATCTTTCTAAAGATACCGTTCTCGAATTCGCACACATAGCACCCGTGTGTGTATGTACATGTGTGTATGTGTATTTATATATGTATGTGTATGCATGTGTGTGTGTATGTATATACAGGGTGTCCATAGAGTTCGTGTGCACTTTAGAAAATTTATAACTTTATTTGCATTTGCGATAGAAATAATTTGTAAAAAGGATTAGAAAGAAGTAAATCTATATTTTTTAAGGTTTTATTAAAATTTTATTTAAGTTTCCACATGTCCTCCATCATTAGCAATACAAAGGGTAATACGATTTTGCAGTTCACGGAAAACATTTGCCAAATGATTTACGGCAATGCCTGAAATCACATTAGTTATTTTAGCTATACTTAAAACTAGGTACATTAAACTTTATAACATTTTTTTACAGATTACTTCTATCGCAAATACAAATAAAGTTATATTTTTTAAAGTGCACACGAACTTTATGGACACCCCGTATATACATGCATACAAACACACACATATATATACATACACATACATATACATATATAAATATACTTTATGGACACCCTGTATATATATTTACATATTCATTTTATTTTATTTATTTATTTGTGTGTGTGTATTTATATTTATATATCGTTATTTATTGTGCAAAATACACAATTACGGCACAAGGCGTAAAAGTGGATGGGTTGAGGCTAGTCGTCATTAACTATCTTATACCTAAGCTAATTAGATTCACGACCCATTCGCTCATTACAATTTGCCCATTTATATTTATATATCGCCACCCACTTCTCACCGTTCCAGCCCTTTTATTACGCCAGTATATACTTGAGGAAGTTCATGATCACCTTAGCTTTGTGACATGGGGTATTGTCATGCATGAATATGGGTGGTCGCTTAGTTGAATTTCTCAGAACAGGCAAGACATGATCTTTTACAAGTTGTTTATAAACTCCTGCATTTACCTTTCCATGTAATCGCAGCAAAGGACCCACACCATCTCCAGATATCATCCCCCAAACCATGACACTTCCTCCACCGAATTTAACACTAGTCTTAAGGCATTTAGGCGACAATTTTTCACCTACTTTTCGACGAACGTACCTTTTCTCATCTGAGCCAAATAACATAAACTTAGATTCATCACTGAAATGCACCGTTTGCCATTTTTCTTGAGACCACAACACATGTTCGGTTGCAAAGGTAAGACGACACTTTTTATTCTTGGAGCTGATCAGTGGCTTCACTGCAGGTGTTCTTGCTTGTAGGTCATGTTCAACTAAATGACGAGACACAGTTTTTCGAGATAAAGTTTTCTTCAGTACAATGCTCGTTTCCCGAGAAACAGCAGCAGCAGTTTTAAATCTGTCCTTTTTAGCCAACTTTACCATAGCACGATCTTCTCTCTTGGTCGTTTTTCTTGGCCTACCTGTAGATTTTCTTGCTTCACACGAACCACAATCATCGTAGACCTTAAGAATACCGTGAACAACATTTTTTGACTTGTTAACAATCTTTGCAGTAGACCCAATACTTAAATTATCCTTCTTTCGAAGCTTAATAATCTGCTGACGAATTGGTAACGGAGTAAGTGGCATTATATTAACAAAGTACACTGCAGATATTCTTACTAATGTTTAGTAAACGAACCGTCACGTAAAGAAATTAAAAAAATTAGAGTTCTCCGGTTAAATATACTAAAACACAGAGTAAAAGCAACCGTTCTGATCATTTTGGCCGCCATGTGTTTTGTAGTAAATCACTAAATCATCCATAACTTTTGTATTATCCTCTCAAATTACACCCAAATCTCAGACAATAACAATTGATATCGTATTTATTGTCTGTGAAAATTATAGGATATAAAACAACTTTGATAAAAACTTATACCTACTTTTCTGACGAAAACAATGCCGTTCTGAACATTTTGGCCCCAACTGTATGTAGAGCAAATGTGGTCTGTGTTAGAGGGTTTTTTAGACACACGGATGGACGGACAGAATTTGTCGTTTATTTATTTAGTATCAGTAAAAGTATCAGTAAAAATTAAAAAAAGTAACTTATTGGTTAAAAATATGTTTCGTTAATTTTTTTATTCAGTAATTCAAGAGGGAAAAATCATTATAATTTTGCAATGATTCTGATCCTTGTGTTTTGTTTTTCTAAACAATCTCGTCTGCAAATGTTGGAAAATGTAGCGTCCTTTTATCACGGGCTCTCATTGGTCAAAAAGAAATTAATAGAAATTTGACAATTCTCATTACGTTGTCTCTGGAGTGTGTTTTTTTTTTTTGGCACGAACACACAATGACAACAGGAAGAATAATGAAGGTTTGTTACAAACGGACTGGAAGTAACACTCACAGAGAAGGAAAAGAAGTTCTAGCATTTCATAGACGTTGCTCTTCCAAACTAAAATCTTTTCACAGAAATAAAATAAAAATAAGAGAGAAACTCAATGTCGCCTTCATACTGCTCGTGAAAATTAATCGATTTCACTGTTCCTGAATGGCCATCACATTATCCTTTTAATTAACAGCATTTCCCAACTTAATCGAATATCTTAAAGGCTAATATATGGTCGCTAAATCAAGCAAGTAGTATAAAAATTAAGTATTTTGCTTGATATAATCTATTTTATTTACGGATTCCTCGCGATATTTCGGTAGCTGGTAAAGATGCGAAGGTAGGCATGTAAAGGTTATAAAAGATGAACTATTTCTAGTGCCGAAAGTTAAGTGGAAATAAAATGTCTTCTGGTTACACATGCTTAAAATTAAAAATTGAATTTAACGTAGATTTATTGGTAAATTTGCTTTCTAAACCCCGCGCTAAATATCTATTAAATTTTCCCCAAATCGTCATATTTCCGTGTAAATGAACATGCTGAACTCTAATTAACAATTAAATTATGATAAAACCTACCGTTTTTGAGTTATCGACAAGAACAAAATGGGATTTTGTCTCGGTCATTCTTCCGCCATCACTGGCATTGTTTTCACTAATTCAAGCGGAGTACTTCCGGTATTTTCCTTTGCGCAAGAGTAAATTTTGGCCTATTTACTTCTTTTACAGAATTTCGTCGCAGAAATCACCGTAAAGAAATTTTTTTTTCATATTTTTGGCTTTCGTAGAGGGATCAATTTACAGTGAATTGACATAGCAAACTGCCTATTAACTTTTAGGTATGCAGGTGACACGGTGTTGATAGCAGACACAGAAAGAAAGCTACAAAAATGTTCTACAAAATTTAGTAGGGAAGGAAAGCGTGAAGAAAGGATTAAACATCAGCTGCAGGAAGACAGAGTGCATGGTCGTTAGGAAAAGGATGATCCCAAAGCGCGAATTGCAAATCGGAGATACCAAAATCAAACAAGTGTGGAAATTTAAATATTTGGGAAATTTAAAAAATAAACAAATGCCCCCCCCCCCCCACACACAAAAAAAAAAAAACGAAAAAAAGTAACAGAAACAGTAAATTACAAATTAAGAGAAAAATTAAGATATTTCCACAAAATGGGGGCGGGGGATAAAATAAAACTAGTTTAACGTACAAACAATGAAAAATAATTAAAACTGACGAAAAACTAGGTTTATCAGCAGACAAAGGAAATTAAAAAAAAGATTTAACAAGTAAAAACAAATGAAATTTATTTCAAAGAAACGAACAATAAAAAAATGCAAAAAGGAGGCGTCTTTTTAAATTGAACAAATAAAAATTAACAAAATCAAATGCAAAATATTTGGAAAAACAACGACGACTGAAAAAAAAATCAAATTAAACGCACGTGAAGCAAAAAAAAAAAGAAGTCCGTCTGCTAAGAAAACAAAATGGCCGAAATAAACAGAAAAATAAAAATAAATTTGACAAAGTCCAGGGTAAAATAAAAAATGAAACTAGGAAGTAAAATTTTTAAAAATTGAGATTTAAAGACGGGGTTTTTAAGTATAAGGAAAGAAAAACTTCAAAATTAAATTCAAGAAAGAAAAACTGATAAAAAAACACTCGTACAACAAATAAAAGAACCAGAAAAAAATATTAGTTTCTTGCCGGGGAGGATAGTAAAAACAAAACTGAAAATGAAAAAAATAAAATACAAATATCGCAACAGATAAAATAAATTTAAGATAAATATAACCCAAATAACTTAAATTTTTTTAACAGTCTTTAAAAAATAAAATAAAATGGACATGATTGGTGGTGTAGCCTATCCAAGACTTAACCGGTCACACACAAAGTCAAGTTACAGTCCATGTGCGTTGTGCTTTTGCTCGACTATTTATATATACAGGTCAGTAATGCATTGTGGGTAGTCGATTGTATTAATCTATGTATTATTTTGGGTGGTAACGGCATATATATATATATATATATATATATATATATATATATATATGCGTGAAAATATATAGAAAATAGGAAAGAACTCGTTAGGTAAATAATCAAAAGTTCTTTAATATTTCTTTTTATTATTTTTTAAAAAAAACAGTGCTCGATACAAAAGTAGAGCCTAAATACATGCCAAATGGTTGGATGGATGGCCACCTGTATCCGATAATGTCCGTCTACTAGGTAATCCCTGTTACCGACGCCTGCTCAGGCACATTTATGCTTGTTCAAAATTCACAGTAATATATATATATATATATATATATAATGACAGTTAATCTCTTATTACTCAAACCCGATGTATGGACTGTCTATACACCGGGTTTGAATATGACTGACGTACTTCGCGTTGGCTGAAATATAACTATACCTATATGAGTTAAATTTGGATTTTGTTGTCTAATTTATATGCTCTGTTATGATAAATAGATTGACCTCTTTTTCTGGATCAGTTTTAATATTTGATATTACTAGGATCCACTTGGATTATATACCAACGGATTTATTACATGTACTATATATATATATATATATATATATATATATATATATACTGTAACTATGTTGACCTTAGTTCCAGTTTCTGGGAGAAAACAGGTGATCAACAGTTTGAGCAAGTCCAGCTGGCTCAAACCATCTTCACTCACAAGTGGTAAGGTGCCCGTAGGCTTAGATCGCCTCCTCCAGACCGATAACATTAAGAAGTCCTGACAAAAAACGACATTGGTGAGATTCGAACTCGAGTCACATGCTCAGGAAACGAACGCACTGACCACTCGGCCACATGTCAAATACTACCTCAATCAAACATAAATATGAAGGAAACTATAATTAATATAATTGAACTTTGATACTCTTTCATTGATGTAGAATCGGCTAATTGCTAATTGCTTGATTTCATAAGAGGGTTTTATCTTGATTGAGTTACATAGGTTATCTGTGAGTGGCATTTTAAGAACTCGTCTCCTAAGTTTCCGAATGATAAGGTTAAAAGCTAAACGCTAGATTTTTTTCTAAAAATGATGCATGAAGCCTTCAGGCAGGAACTGGGAGACATTTTCTGTGTGAAAACAAAAAAGGAAGAAGATCTTAATTTTAGCTAATTTTATGATCGGAATGACTCGTATACAAATAAGGGTAAGATTAGATCTATCTATCTATCTATCTATCTATCTATCTATCATTTTGCTCATATCTATCTCAATCTCTCTATCTCAATTTCTATCTATCTATCTATCTATCTATCTATCTATCTATCTTCATAGCTATCATTTTGCTCATATCTATCTATGTCATTCACTATCTCAATTTCTATCTATCTATCTATCTCAATCTCTTCATATCTATCATTCTACTAATATCTATTTATCTGTCTATCTCAATTACTATTTATCTCAGTTTCTATCTATCTATCTATCTATCTATCTATCTATCTATCTATCTATCTATCTATCTATCTATTATGACTCGGGCACGGCTTATTGATATACGCATTTATGGAGTCATAGTTCACCAAATTATCGAGATTACATAGAATTGAGAAAATACTTATTATCAATTACTTTCTATAGCAGTCTTCATCAAAACGGCCTCATAAAATGGCATCGTAATAGTAGTGATAAAATAAAGTTTCGTGAATTCACCGTTTCCGTCTCGGATTTTATTTCGAATTCTTTAAAACGACAAAAGACTCATATTATAGAACTCATTGTCCTTAATAAACTGCTATTGATTTTTGTACGACGAGTTTTGATAATGGGAAGCCATTATTAACTTTCAGGTAATTTTACCCATCTATTTCGTTTCAAAATATTAACTTCTTTTTGTATGGTGTTATTATACATAAAAATATCTAACCTAATGCAATTACCATTATATATACTATATAAGATGTTACTTCTATAATAATTGTATATATATATATATATATATATATATATATATATATATATATATATATATATATATATATATTCGATTTGTATGGATATGGGTGAAAGAAAGTAGATTGTACATTGGTTATTAATTGTTTTCCACCCTGCAACAGCTTTCCCCACAGCCGAAAGGTTGCAAGC